ATAATATAACATAGTACAATCCGGATGCATATATCCCGATTTATTATATCCGAGTTTTTTATAATAAAACCGGATAATTCTACTATAAACCTGTAGAATTAAAGTATAAAGATTTTTTTTTTATCGAAATATGATCAAATATTTTTTGAGAAATCTTCGCTAGAAATTATGACTAAGTATTTACTGAGAAATCTTTGCTAGAAGTTTTAAGAAAATCTTAATATTTTAACATTTCGAGGTCTTACTGAAATGTTACTGCATTTACAAATTAAAAAAAAAAAATATAAAGAAACTTGGACTTTCAATACGTTAACTTTAGGTAGTACGGGTAGTACTTTCGATTTTCAGTAGCACTTTCCACAGGTAAAACAATAAACCTTTTTTTCAAGTATTTTTTCAAAAACCTTTGGTGTACTATACAACTTTTCCAAACAATTTCCAACATTTTAAATTACATATGGAATAGACACAGAAAAGATTTAGATAATGTAGAAAATATCTAGAAAAGTTGCATAGTACACCAAAGTTTTTTGAAAAAATACTTGTAGAAAAAGGTTTATAGTTCTACTCGTGTTTCAACGTTCAGAAAACTTTTGATAATCTGTTTTGCACGGCATGATTGATGGATTTACCGAAAGTATTTCGAAACACCAAAATATTTTCGGCTGACATCCTTACGCTCTCCTATTCATCGTTAGTTTTTTTTTTCTTTTTATCATATGAATGAAACGATTCATGCACATTAATGCGTATTTATGCGAATGATATTATAAAATGCGCATTTTTCCCATCTCTAATAATTATAATAGGTACGTAATGAACTTAAAATATTAACAGAAAAAGAATGAAAAACTTACACTTCCAAGACTTGGTTTTCATAATTTTTAAAAATTCAGCGGGTCCATTTTTAAAAATAGTGATTGGCGTACAAATAAGAAATAGTAGAAAATATGTAAAAAAAGTTTGAGTTGTAGGAATATCAAGATTTAATTCTGCAGTTGCCACGATTGTGGAGGCAATACATAATGAAAGAAACTGGCCAAGTAAAAATGTTATAAGAAATTCTTTTGTGAATAAAAAATTAAGTTTTATCCGAGAGGAATATTGTGGTAATTGTGGTAACGATTCTTGTTCATGACAAGTTGGTGCAGATGTGGGAACATAAGTGACAATTGTTGACATTTTTGTTTATGAATAATATAAGACCATGCAAAAGTAATTTTTTTATTCTCATTTTAAAAGTAATTTGTAGCATTTTATTCATTTTTTTTAACCTTCTACATAAACGATCTAGTGTGTTAAAAGAATTCAAAAAAAAAACAAACTTTGACAATCATTTCACAAAAAATAAAAATCGCCTAACACTAAACTAACCTTAACCCTAAATTGGGCTAATTGTCCATAAAGGTTATCAATTATGATGATTTTTTAATTAATATTAAAAAAATTTATCGTTTCATGTTCATAAATTGAGTATGGGCAATCGATATTAAGTATCAACATATTGTTACGAATTATTCCAGCTGTTTTTTCATTAGTTGGCTACTCATTATTATTATTAAGTAAAGCAATATGAATTGGTCCATGTGATAGGAATCTCTTTAATGTGTGGCATCTGGAAAGATGTATAAGTACAGTACGTTGTAAAAGTGTAAATTGGTTCTGGATATGACTCGTCCGGAAGTATTGTTACACAACGGTTCGGGGTCAACTAATCTATACAAATAATCCGAAGTAATCCAAAATCCAACTAAGAGGTAACCTTAGCCTGGAAAAGGCTAGAAAGAGGCGGGTATAACTTGGTACGAATTTAGAGTTACTGAGGTGAGTTGTTGGTTATTGAATTGGGTCTTTGGATTATTTTGGGTTGGTACTGGTCTTCTTTACGAATGTTATTTTGCTTGGTCACGTTATCGGGTTGTCACGTTTCGTTTTAAGTATCACGAGGGCTCAAATTATTGGTAGGTCGATTTAACAATTACGATATTGGATCAATTGTTTTATCAATTTAAGGGTACTATAAAAGAGGATCGATATAACAATTCTGGCACTTTTACTCTAACTAGAAACTTGGTATCAACGAAGTATTATCAGGGGAACAAGATAGAAAAGATTAACGATTCAAAACGATTTATAATGAAACGATGGGTTTATACGGCGAGTCAGTCGCTCGGCTATGGAAAACTCCTTACAACCTACGAATGGCTTGTCGAAAGAGGGCGTTTATATTTGGTCGGTGGTTTAGGCTCGTAGGTTAGTAGTTGTCTTTAATCCTCTAAGGTTCGAGTCTTTAAAGGTAACACCACTAATATCAAACTTCTACTTAATGGGGGTGGATCACTTATGGACTTTAACTTTGCAAAGAATGGACACCACAATTCGTCGGGTATTCCAATTATTAGAACCACAGTTACCACAGTTCGTCGGGTAACTGGAACCAAACTAAATAACCACAACCAACCTCGGTACGTTGGGTTAGCTGGAATCGAAGACCACGGTTAATCTTAGTACGTCAAGATTTAACCGGACAATTTAAAGGTAGGTATCACGTGTGCAAGACAACAGTAGACGTACTGTGTGTCAATTTAATGAAGCGGGATTCTGAGGGGGTTAGTTTAGTGGAAATATTATGTATTCGGGGTTTATTGTATTGGGAATCAATTATTTTAATAAAGAAAAAGCAAAACTATAAAGAGTTATCCTTTATTATGAGCGAATTCGCTCTTATTATATACATTTACATTACTATGTTTCTTATAACTCTTTTAATACTTAAACACATTTTAACTATTAAACATCTTATAATACTTAAAACCCTTTAATCTCTTTTATGTCTTTTCCCTCTTTTATCTCTTATATGTATTAAAACCCGTATAACTCTTTTAATACTTATAAGACTTTTAACTCTTTTATCCCGGGAAACCCATTAAAGGTAAGAGATCTGCACATCCGTTGAAAAAGTGTGAATTTGTTCTAGGCTAGAACTCGTCCGGAAGTTTGGTTACACAGAGGTTCGAATCCAACTAATCTATATAAATAAGCCGAGATAATCCACAAATCCAACTAAGAGGTAACCCTAGGTTGGAAAAGGCTTGAAAGAGGCGAGGATTAAGTTGGTCCGAGGTTAGGGTTACTTGAATAAGTGTTTGGTTATAAAAGTTGGGTCTATGGATTGTCTTGGTCACGTTTATCGGAAGTTATAGTTTAATTACGATCGGGTTACAAATGGGGTTTCGATTTGGTTGCGAATTGGGTTACAATTTGGGTTACAATCTGGGTCACGGGATATGAATTTATTGGTAAGTCGATTTAACAATTACGAAAGTGATCAATTAATCAATCTAAAGACACTATATAAAACAAAGCGATATGACAATTTGGGTCTTTTTACTTTACTAACAAACTGGTATGAGTCAAGAAAGATATCACGGGGACAAGAATTTAACGATAAACGATTCAAAGGATTTAGGGTAACAATTTATAAGGGTAATTTAGTTAAGACAAACACTTCTATGCAAGACTTTTCAAGACTCAGAAGGTTCTACTTTTTCGAACTCTGTGAGTTGTTTTTATTCAAGGTAATTTCGCATTGTTTATATACATTTTCTTTACATATAGAGGACTAACGAGAATTATTGTTATTCTAGCTATTCTAATTATTCTTATAATTCTTATTTTTCTCGTTATTCAAATTATTCTTGCCATTTAAATTATTCTTGCTATTGCCATTATTCTCGCTATTCAAATTATTCTTATTTTTTTGGGAATTTCGAGAATAGCAGGAATTATAGGAATTCCGGGAATTCGTGTACGACGATCTTTACCCTAAATTATCCCAACCTTCGAATTCTACTTAATAAGGTAAGAGACTAACTAAATAACACTAATGCTAATCGCTACATACAAAATAAATGAAAAATAATAATAATATATATAAAAAAAATAAAAAAAATAATATATAAAAAAAAAAGTCGATTGGTGCCCCGGAGCCCTTCACAATGTGCAACACCCCAATCGGGGGCATAATTTGGACCAATCGCATCGCATCGCACTGAGGTTCCTAGTGCGAATAGCAATTCCCTAAATATAATATAATATTTTTAATATATGGGTCCGAAAAGAGTTACAGTAAAAAATAATACGTAATATAAAAATTCAATAAGATAATACGTACAGTAATAAGCAAACTTAATTCCGTGTCCAACAATTATTCCTTAGCATGTACTACGTAGTACAACACCTAATATATTTCATTAGACTTATATATCTAGCATTTAATTCCTCAGTTCTTTCAGATAAATTATTTTCTTATATTTAAAACGTCAATTAAAGATTTTCAAATTAACTTATTAGATAGTATTACTAAACTAGCGGATGCTTTCAATCAATTAAATTTCATTGATTGTCAAAAATTGGCAGATATGAATAATCCAGACGGAATGTTCTGGCTTGGTTATTGCTACGAATATGGAATTGGAGTTAAGAAGGATAAAAATAAAGCATTTATTCATTATCAAAAATCTGCAGATATGAATAATTCTAACGGAATATATCAAGTTGGCTATTGTTATTATTTAGAGATTGGGGTTAAAAGAGATAAACATATAGCATTTACATATTATCAAAAAGCAGCTGAGGCAGGTAATTCTATGGGAA